ACTTAACCTGACTCTTTCACTTCTGGAACTATGCCAAGGAACATAGAATTCAGTTCAACCGTGAGACTCAGACGAACGCATACCCAAGGCAGCTGGAATGCTGTCTATTCTTCACTATTTTTGTTCTGTTCTCGTATTATAAGTTTTATATGTCATTTTCTTGTTTATACTTGTACTGTGCAGTTATTTAATATAAGTTTGTGTTTAAAACGAGGACGGGTACCTAGTTCCTTCACATTACATCGCAACAGAGCTTAAAAAGAGAACCATATTGACTGAAGCAGCTATAATTAGTGATATAGTGTCTAGTAATTGTTTTCTCCAAGGTTCTAGACTTTATCAAAATGGAGAGGGCGAAGAGGTATCTTAGCTGAAAGTAGTAGTAAGAAGAATAGAGGTTTATAATTATTTACATAGAAATATACGGTTTGTTTTAATACTTCAAAGAAAAATTTAATTAATAACAGAAATACAATAAGTTCGCTTGTTTATTCTCAGGTTTTGCGTCACATGGAAAGTTCTCGTAATTTGTTTAGTTTTAGTTTAAATTATTTAGTAGTTAATTCAACGTATTAAAGTTATTTGAAATAAATGTCATTCTGAAGACTTCATATACAGCTACCAATGCATTTGAATTAACAAAGTGTAATCAGCAGAAATTTCTTATAGATACCAACCTTCAGATTTTCGACAGATTGAAAATTTCCCCTTTGTTTCATTATTATTACTGTTTATGTAAGGTTTAATAAATATTTAGCAAATAAAGTTTCGAATTTAGTTAAAAAACTTTCAATTTTGGTTAAAAAATTAATTCAGCCTGCCTGCTGCTTTTAAATCGTGAATTTGGCCCACATGCAATTTGAGTTTGAGGCCACTTTTAACCACAGCCACAATACGAACTCCTAGAATAAGCGTATGAAGCGGTTCCTGTGCCAGGTATATTTTTAGTCATAGATTGCCAAATGTTACGGATCTGTGAAGCTTGAGGCATTCTATCCCAAAACGAATAAAGAGTCCCATGTTATGCTTCTTCTAGATTTTTATAAACATATTTTGGATAATTAATGCAACTTTGTGATCCATTGTACGCTGCGAAGAAAAAGGAGGGAACAGTTCCAAATATCTCCCGTTCTACTGGACCGATTGACGAAATTCAAATTGCGTTTTTCATGTCTCGAAACCGCGACTTAGAATATATATTAGATTTATATATAGCATTGTTCTAACATAGGTATTTTGACACAAAATAGGACTTTTTCTGAAGTAACACAACATTTACTAAATATTAAATTTTGTAAAATTTGGTGCGAAATTTACGGAGAAATTCAAAAATTTATCTTGACGTATTTTTACTTCCTTGTACGAAGTAAAAAGGAAGTATTGTAATCGCGAAAAGTTTCAGGCAGCATATTTCAACGAAAATATCCATTTTGACCGCCATCGAATGCAATTTAACGATGTTTTTGCGTGATATCTGTACGTAAGGGCAGAATAAAATACTCTTTTCCTTCAAAAAAATTATAAAACTGCTTTAAAATTAATTCCGAAGAGAATTTTTCGTGGCGTCTGTACAAACCTATGTACGTACGTGCGTACGTACGTTCGTGCGTACGTACGTATCTCGCATAACTCAAAAACGACTAGCCTCAGAACGTTGAAATTTAGTATATAGGACTGCTATAACATGTAGATGTGCACCTCGTATTTTGATTGCAATCGGCCGCACCAAACGTATATAAATATATTTATATATATATCCACTCTGTTACCCGGCTCAGTAATCTCAGTTTCTTTACTCTTATATGTTTGTAAATTGTACATTTTTTGCTTTAAAAATGATTGAATTATTTTGTTTTTATCTTCCGGTTAAGGTTTTTATGCCTTTAGTAAATCTGTGTGCAATATTTTTAGAATTATCAGAAATTTTAAAGTTTTTTAATTGCCGCTAAGCCTGTTTTTAATGGCGGCCATTGATGTTTACATTTGAAACAGGAGACTAGTGGATTTGTTGCCTATCTAGAGAAACTAAGCTTCGCAACAACAAATATAACGCATTCATTTATTATTGCCAATTAAATGATGCTTAATTCTTTCTGGAATTTTTTTCGAGGAAATAAGTGTTTGAAATTTACTTCGTAATTTTTAATATAGATATTTTGAGTTTTTATGTATTTTTGCCTTGTCGCGAAGGGAGAAAGAACTGAATTAATTAAATGAGAAATACTCAATCGTCTGTGTGAAAAACTGTTTCTTTTTGTTTTGTTTGCTTAATTTCTTTTATACATCGTTCTAGCTTTATTATAGTATTTGAATAGAGCATGTGGCAACGATTAGATAATTCTATTCTTTAAATGATATAAATTTTGTGCATTATGAGTTATAATATGAACGAAATATATACGTTAACTGTTATATAATTATTGGATTATATAACAGTTAACTTAGTTTCCGTTATATAATTATTATATAAGTTAACTGTTATATAATTATTAATACTGTTAAGGGAATCTAGCGCCAGAGTGTCGCTATGGTAAACAAATACTAGAGTGAATTTTAAAGAATGCATTTATTCTATTGTGGTTTATGCGCTGTCGGCGAAGTAGATTTAATTCAATCCAATAAGTTTAAATGAAATGCAAGAAAAAATGCGTATAATTTAATATTCCCATATAATATTCCAATACAAGGAAGTCATGTGGTGTACACATCAGATGTTTTTAGTTTGCGCCAAGAATAATTCTCGAGACGAACTTCTTTATATATGGCAACCTATTTCCCTTTCCCTTCCATCGTGCAGGAACGAAAAAAAAGTCACATGGTTCCTACCCTATTACATTGTTGCATGAGCAGAAGAAAGTCACATCGTTTCAACTTTCAAATAATTTTAACAAAGTGCCTAAACCACAGTTGCTGTTATCGCTTTCGCCAAATATCAAAACGTCCCAATATATAAATTCATATATATCTTCGGAAATTTTGAATAAAAAACTGTAATTTTTGCAGGTAGGCTTTAGAAACACATCTACTTTAAGATGATGGTAAAAACTTTGTAGATTATAATTCAAAATTGTTTTCGAAAAATTTATAAAAATAATTTTAAAATACAAATTTAAATCATAAAAATGGGCGAATGCTATTTGAAATGAATTTAAATTTTGAAATGTGAAAGAAAAAAATTAAATAAATTTAATGAAAAAGGAGATAATTATAAATATATACACAAAGATATATACATAAATATATATCAAATTCAATTAACATTGAGGAGCTAAAATGTTGAGAGCTAATTTTTTAAAAACTATTTGTGCGATTTTTACAAAACGTGGCAGTTTGGCGTAATTCGAGTCGTAGAATCGAAATATGGGAAAAATAATTGGCATGTCATTTCAGAAAAAGGATCGATTTTCTGTAAAAATACCTATATTAGAACAATGCTATATATAAATCTAATACATATCCCAAGTCGCGCTTTCGAGCCATAAAAAAAAAAAAAAAAAAAAAAAAAAAAAAAAAAAAAAAAAAAAAAAAAACGCAAGTTGAATTTTGTCAATCGACCTAGTAGAACGGGAGAAATAGAACTGACTTTTTTTTAAAAACCATCATTTCTTAAAATGGAAACATGGATCTGCGGTCTCACTGTATTCATTAGATCTCTCTCAGAAAAAGTAGTGCTTTTATTGCAGTTTTTCATTCGTCAATTAATATGAAATCCTTGTTGGAACTTTCTAGATATCTACAAAGGCTGTGAACTTCGAAAACTGCTTTCTAAAGAATCAAAAATACTTTTTCCTTTAACGGCTTAATGTTTTCATTTCTGGCTTTATAACGGATACTTATTCCTTTAGAGATTTGTCTGAGTTTAATATCATGTGTTACACAAATGTATTTCAAAAGAATATACCATGAATTTAAAACTCTGCCTTTCAAAGTTTCCCTATTTTATTACTTAAAATTACCGTTTTGTATGAATGAGTTCTAGAATCTGATAACTTATTTAGGGGAATTATTATTAAATAGTTTCTACGTTCAGATAATTTCCGCTAACTTCAGAAATTTAATCAAAAATTTTCAAAAATAAATATAAAAGCCATTATAAATTATTATACATACACATATTTGGTTAAAACTTCACAGTAATTAGCTTATATTTTCTCATGCCTGTATCGATAACTTGAGATTATGTAGGTACTATATTACTTTACATATAAAAAAGCATAATACAGGAACAATTTTTGGTACTTTTCCGTTTTGCCGGCGCAAACGATAAAGCCGCCAATAATGGTTTAACTGATGCCAGACGAAATATCTTCGCTGGTAACCTTTTACGCCTCATTTTCAAAACAAGTCGCAGCCATTTCTTATCAGATTGTTTCTTTCAATACTGGCATACAACTACATAGAATTTTTACAAGATATTTAAATTTTATCCCCTAAGACAATTCCACGGTAATAAGTCAATTAGTTCTAAGTCAATTAGAACGCAATTACACCGCTCATAGAAGGCAAAATCAAGGGTTAAATTCATCAATTCTAATGAGAATGCACAAGCGAAGTAAAGCACTGCGGTTTTACATAATTTCTGAGTAAGCTATTCGTACGAATTGAAATAATTCTTGCATTTAAACTTGTATTCCAAATTAAGATTTAACTTGAAATTAATGTAGATAATTACTGAGAGAATTAGATTTTTGTAGCGTAGTTTACGTGAGATGAGATCACTTTGGGGTCACGTGATACGAACCGGCGAATCAGGATGTTGAACCATGAAAACATAGTAAATTCTTAATTAATGTCTTTTTACAAATTTATTGTCTTTATTTATTGGCTTTTTACAAAATTTTAAAAGATATTAAAATGTTTATGCCTTCAAAATAAAAAAAAATTCTTAGAATTAACATTTTTTATGTGTATACTGTATGTTGTCGCCAACAAAGTCTGCTTGGCGAGATTTGCGCCGGCGAAACGGAAAAGTACCCAATTTTTTAAATACGAATCACCAATAACGTTTCACACACACTGAATATTTATTTACAAAATATTTGTACAAAATGTTCTTAGGTTTCGAAACATAATCCATATTCGATAGTGAGATGATATGCAAACTTCTTATCCTCCTCTTCCGCAGCAGTTGTTGTAGAGTCTGCAACATCCTTCTCTATGTGCTCTAGAGAACAACCTACAAGATCTGGAGCATAATGTTTGATCAATGCGCTCGGAGAGCCTTTGGGCGGCCATTATGTCGAATGTAGCACTCAAGAGGCAGAGCACTAGGATAGCTGTCAAAACGACTTTCATAGTGCTGGAAGGACAAAAATTTGCTCGATTATAACTCATTTTTCTTAGCTTGTTAGTAGAGCTCTTGGGATGTTAGTGCAAAGCTTGTTAGATCCACTCCTTTGCAAATGGCAAACGTAGCATCTTTTATATGTTTGTTATCACGCCACCACCGATTGTAAATTTAATTTTAGTCATATTCGAAATACTAAATTACGGTTAGCAAACACCCACTTGTACTGTAAAAATCATTAATGCTAAGTGCAAGATATCAAAATGAAAAGAACCCAAAACATTCAAATTAAATCTAGGAAAATATTTAATGCTGTATTCAGGTCAAGGTTTTGCAGTTGCAGTTGAATCTTTCAAAATCTTTTGTATCTTATGCATTTTTATAAATTTTTTGGGATTAAAAAATGTTTGGAATGATATATTTATTCATGGATTTTGATACTTGCACTTGATTTACATATGCTCTCAGAATTTAAATGATGCTGTAGATTAGTTCGCAGCAACAATTAATCATTTATCTGTTTGCATTAAATTTCATTATTTAAAATTTAATTAACTTTTTACGAATAGAGAATGTTCGTTGAATTCAAGATTTTTTTTTTTCAAAATCTCTCGAAAGCGCACACTAGCTAGTGATTATAAAGAAACCTGAACAACGGTGTTGGCATAAAGACAGAAGGTTTCACGAACGTTATAGGCAGTAAAATGAAAGTCTATTTTTGCTAAAATAATCTTTCCATTAAAGTCTGTTTTGGGGGCAATCAACTTCAAACAGTAGCAAACCTTTTCGCGAGTTCTTTGAAAAGCACAGACTCCAAAAGCATCTTACTACTACATTACATTCTCCTAGATTTTTATTTTACCCAAGACAAATCTCTAGGCTTTTTAAAGTAAAAATCCAGGAAATTTGTAGCTTGGAAATTTTAGTCAAAATTGGAATATTAAACTCTAGTTAGCAAATACTCAGATATATTTTCAAGATTACTAGCATTATATGTAGAATACCCAAATAAAAAATTTAAAGACATTGCCTAGTATATCAATGAATGACTTTTAGAACCTAAAAGGCCTCAGATAATATTTTAATATTATGCACACTGAAAAAATACTAAAGCAAAAGTCTTCATGAGCTTTGTGGCCCACAAAATTGAAGTCTGTTACTGGTGCCATTAGATTAAACTCTACTGTAGTCTTACTTTCAGCATCACATCAAAAATATTACATATCAGGCCAATGAATGACTTCTGGGAATTAAAAGGGCACAAAAATTCTTAATACTGTTTGCATTTCTGACATGTGCAATCGCAGTAGAATCTCTGATAATGAATTGTTTTTAAAAAGCGACAGAAATTAGGTTATATTGTATTTCCAGCTATGCAATCGCTGTGAATACTACAAATTGTCTTTGTATCCTCTCAAGAATGTGCAGTCGTAAAAACAAATGTAACAATGGCCTTTACCGGCAGCGCAGCTGGTATATTTGGAAATGGTGCTTACCAGCCTGTTTAAGCTCTGCCAGTGATTCTAATTAAAACAATGGTCTTGACTTCAAAGCAGAAAATTTCATGCGCATTGCAACTATCAAAATTCAATTCCGTTATTATTTTTATCTAACAATATCTGAGGAAGCATTGCCAGGAGAGGAAGATATGTTTCCTGGGCAGCAAAACTGAAAATTGCAAAAACTCTTTTCCCAAAGAAGTTTCCTGAAAAGCATAGACATCTTCAAATGTCCTGTCCCTGAATTAACTCTACTGAATATTTACATGTGAGTTAACATCCAAAAACATTGTCTACAAGATTTTCAGAAACTGAAACGATTTTCTAGAGATAAAATGTTTTACGTGTAATGAAGTTGTGATTTCAGTTACCTCGAACATGCTTGAACTCGAACAACAAAAGGAAATCCACTACTATGTGAATATGTATGTGTCATATTATATATTAATCGTTACATCTATTAAGTATTTCTCCCACTTCCCTAGCGTGCCTTCGCGGTGTAACGGTAGCACGCTGGGCCGGTATTCCAGAGGTCCGTGGTTCGATTCCCTGCGAAGGCGGTTGTTATAATTTTTCATCTCTCCGGTTTCCAAAAATTCCTAATGACTCTACACATCTAGCACCTATAGTGAAGACATGCGCAGCGAAGGGGCGGGGAAGGAAGAAAGGAGGAACTAAGATAGGCAACTGAGAAGAAGTGCGCAATATGAATATGCTTCGAACTTTGCATTGCCTAAATATCTTTCAAACAAACATTTTAACTTTCATTTAATTGCAAATAATACAGCCATGCACATTTACAAAATCCTACTAAATATGTTAGTCCATCTTTTACGTATTGTTAGTCCAAGTTATATGTAACTCCATTTTTCATTCAAAAAGAACAAACTTCTGACTATCTGATGTTCTAGAAACATAACCATGATATGATATCTAGTGATATTTATCAGTACGCTCAAATTGCATATTCTTTCAATACATATACCACTGCATGTGCCGTGATAGGAATCTGTGTATGGTTTATGTCACATCTATTAACGCTTTGAGAAGTCTTTAATTATTACCGTTCTGTTTACATGATAAGTTTAATTATTTGATGCAGTACGAATGTAATTAACACTATAACATTTTTAAGTGTTTTCATATCCTGTACAGCTAAAGAGTACAGTCATTTACGAAACCACTGTCTTCATATGACATTGCGTTCTTTGCATTTTTCGGTTAATTCGGGAATGAGATGATATATGGCTGAGTTATATCTAACTCACAGAATACAGAAGTTGTACATTTTCTTCTGAAAGTGTCAAACTATTAAATAGGTATTGTCGCTAAATTGTGAGGCAAAACTTCTTGTGTAAAGAAGGCAAGCATTTTTCTGTAAAAATTCAATTTGTTTTCCTTTTAAATTTTCTTTTAAATTTAATTTTAAACATACCTTCCACTGCATATTATAAAAAATAATGTTCCTGTGTTCTGTCTCTAACAATGAGTGCTATTATCTGGTTAAATTAAGACACAATAACACGCCGAATAAATACTAATTCATAAGTCAAACAACAAAAAATCGGCGTTATAAAGGTTTTGCAGCTGAGGATGGTGGTTCGGTAAAACCATCGAAACTAGTCCTTGTGAAAATTTTGTAAATATAACGCAGATTTTTGTTGTTTGACTTCTGAATTAGTACCTGGTTAAATATTAAGGAAAAGTTAAGAATTGTATTTGAATTGTTTTAATTAACAGTTAATGAATTTTTAGTTAACAAGAAAGGGATAGTTTTTAATTTAATGTTTATTTATTTATTAATTCTGAAGTAGGTAAAAGGAAAAAGTTGTTGTTGTTGTTGTTTGTTGTTGTTGTTGTTGTTTGTTCTTGTTTGTTGTTGTTGTTGTTTGTTGTTGTTTGCTGTTGCTGTTGTTGTTTGTTGTTGTTGTTGTTTGCTGTTGTTTGTTGTTTGCTGTTGTTGTTGTTGCTGCTGCTGTTTGTTGTTGTTGTTGTTGTTGTTTTCTGTTTGTTGTTGTTTGTTGTTGTTGTTGTTGTATGTGTGTGTTTTTGTTTCGTTAGTAATAAGTTTTTTAAAGCAGTATAGCAGTAAAGACAGTAAAGATAGTCACTCATAACTTTTTTTTTTTTGCTACCAGTTGCTTTATTAAAAATGAGTAAATGATTAAACGATTTTTAATTAATGCAATAAAGAAAACATTGTAATATAAATTTTAAACACTAGTTATGGAAAAAATAAAAAGTTTTTCTGAAAAATTGACAAGCCTTGACGTAGTAAAACTGTTTGATATTCCTGTTATTAATTAATTCAGAAAGCTATAAAAATGTACATACTGAAACAGTCTTCATTCACGCAATCATTCATCATCGTCATCATTATTATTTTGAATATAAGGGATTTTAAAACTATCCAAAAAATATAAATTTAATTAAAATGTCTGGGCTCCCTTATCGTCTGATTAGTATTTACAAGCTCACCTTTTTGTCTGAAAAAAATAGTTTTGAGCGCACTTCCGCATATCAGCAAAAACAAATTATAGCTTCTCTAACTGTAACACTGTAGAGACTACTAGGATTTCCGGAGCAAAGAATCAACTGCGCTTTCGTCTAGATTTGAACACCTATATTTCTGACGTTAACTGGACATGCACATGGATACTTACACTACGAAAGCGCGCACGGGGAAGGCGATTATTCCTTATATTCTCTCTCATTTATAATGCAACTGGGAGACGTACGGGACTCAGTAGATCAAATCCAGGTGGTAATCAGTTATCTTTTATTATAATTTAGTTGGACCGACACTAGAGTGATTGTTAGATAAAGCCAGAAAACATTAAAAATAAACTAAGTCCACGTCGAGATCCAGAATTCGGATCTCCGAATAAACAGCTGGATATGTTAACCACTTACATATCTCGATCATCTCTTAAAAGGCAAGCGACAGAAGTAGCAGAGTCAAAATAAGAATGGGCGTAATTATTGCATTTATGTAACACAGAAATAAATTGTCAAACAAATGTTGAAATGTAGTTAAAAATTGATGTCCAAATTGAAATGGAAGGCCAATTTGATGTTTTATGTATTATAATTTGGGAATGGTGAATATTGATGTTATATCAGACTGCTATACGTAAAGCGGGAGGGCGGAACTCAGCTTTCTTCTACAGCTGTGACATGAAAATGACGACGAAGAAGCATGTGCCTAGGTAAAAACTGTGTGCAGAACATAGATAAAGATTCCTCATCTCCTATTGTGAACCAAACACTAAAAAAAAAAAAAAAAAAAAAAAATATTTGCTTCAATACGGGAAAAATCATTTTAGTCGATTATACAAATTTAGTAACTAATTCGTTCTTTCGCTGAATTAATTGCAAAATTGCATGTATTTTTGATAAGTTTAACTTTCATGTATTTTTTTTTTTTTTCTATTTATATAAATCGCAGTTCGCATTCCAGGTATGTGTGAACTATCTATAGCATTCCTTGACAGCGCGGCTTAATACGCACTC